CATTTCGAAAAAAATAGTTATTGTGCAAAAAAAACAAAAAAACAAAAAAACTAAACTGATTATTTAAAAAAAATACAGCAAAATGTGGTTAGTTTACTCAGTTAACCTTTAAAAAACTACATCGACTAGATTTTCAAGTTTTTTTTTTTTTTTCAAATATACCATTAATTAATTATAAATAACATATTTTTCGAAATATCAATTTTTATATTCTAGTTTATCAACTAATTTTTATTAAACATCATTTTTATCACTTAATTTTTCAGGTGATAACTAGTTTTTCAACTATCAACTAGTACTTCAAACATAACCCAAATATCAAGTTGATTGTTGTATTTATCCGTTAATGTTCCATTGTTTTTAGGGTATGCATGGCCATTTCATAAAAAAAATGTCAAATACTTGTATTATATACTCTTTTATTGGTAGTTTAAAATTTCCATTCATATAATAACTCCAAAGATTGTCCTCACGTCGAAGTGGATAAAATCCATTTGTGATGACTGATGACTAATCAGAAACTAAACTTTTGACATGTCGAATTCAATTATTAGTTAATGATGAAGAAATATCTATAACTTCTACGCAACCGATTAGGTCAATAGGCGGTCTATAGTAATCAAAGTGGTACCACGAAATTTAGGGGTTGGGCTATATTCTATTTAAAATATTTTTATTGGTTAAAATTATATTGTTTTTTTAAAAGATGATTAAAAATTGTTACATATTAATCGATTTTTAATAAAAATGTTTATATTATGTTTAAAAGGGTTATTTAAGTGGACAACCCATTTAACTATTTACACACCCTATATAGTTTTTAAAGTATTTTTTTTTGTTACAATTGTATTGTTTTTTGAAAAAGATAGATTAAAAATAGTTACTTATAGGTTAACTCTTGATAAATATGTCTATAAGGTGTCTAAAAGGTGTCTTAATGGACATCCCATTTTACCATTTAGATACACCTTATATAGTTTTTAAGGTATTTTTATTGATTAAAATTGAATTGTTTTTTGAAGAAGATGATTAAAAATACTTACCTATAGGTTAACTTTTTATAACGATATAGTTTCTAAAAAGTATCTTAATAGCTAACATCCGAAATTTAACATCCATAAACTGTTTACGTGACATTTTTTATGGGATAAGTTGGCATAATAGTCAACATTGAATTATTCCTCTCATAGTCTCATGTGATTATGTCTGTAGGTTTTAAATGCATTATTTGCTTATGATAATAAATAAATAGTAAACGCACCACTTGGAATGCCCACATCCAACCCACCCAAATGTATGATACATACACATTGTGAACAATCGACTAATCACAACTTCAAATTTGTGATGTTTAATTCAAAAAAAAAAAAGTGTGTGTGTATATATATATATATATATATATATATATATAATATATATATATATATATATATATATATATATATATATATATATATATATATATATATAAATATATATATATATATATATAAATATATATATATATAATATATATATATATATATATATAATATATATATATTCAGATTCATTTGAAACCACCATATTAATTTTGTGAGACCGTAATACAAAATCTAAAAATAATTTTAAAATACAAAATAAAAGGAAAATTCAAAAATTATTTTTTAATTATTATTTTCGGAACTTTATTTATCTAAAAAAATAAAATAAAAATTAAACAAAATAAATAAATAAATAAATAAATAAATTACCGTTTTTTTAATACGTGAAATATACTAATAGAATATTACATTTTATAGTATGATTGTTAGAATGTTTAGAATATCCTACTAGTTTTGCCAGATATGTAGAATATTCTAAATATTCTACTAAAATATGTAAAAAATGTTTTTTTTTGGAAAATATATATTCCAAAAATAATATTGGAAAAAAAATTTCGAAAATTTTCAATTATTTTGCATTTTAAAAATGTTTTTGTTTTATCTACTAAATGAATGGTTAGGATTGCGTCTCATGGTCTCACAAAATTAGCCTGTCTCATATGAATCTAACCTTATATATATATATATATATATATATATATATATATATATATATATATATATATATATATATATATATATATATATATATTCGAATTTCTTAATGATCTAACAAAAAATTGTAAAAAGTTAGTGATTTTTCAAAATTAGTCATCCAAATTGCAAGCAATAAGCCTCGCCTATGATTTTGACCTTGTTGGGAAGAGATTTTGTCTATTTTTTTTATGAGAAAGTATATAAACCTAAAATTCTATAAATAACTCATCAAACCTTCAACTTTAAGAAATCTGCTCTACTCGCTCTAATGACTCGAGAACATTATTTTCACAAAAGTTTGTAAGTTATATACTTATTTCATGTTTTAATCATGTTTTATTAGATTTATATATTTAATAGAGAAGCCCTTTTATTGTCCTGAAGTTCAACGTTGATAAATTTATTGTTTGGAAGAATTGGAATCCGTTGTTCATACGCTATTTCTGGCGGTTCATTTAGATTAGCAAGAGACTTCCCCCTTTCTAGGGGCGTTCCTTGTGGACCTAAACACAATTCTAGATCTAGATTGTTAGCGCATTACGCTATTTGCACGACCCTATGAAATACATATAAAAACAAACGTTACACGTTTAATGGAAAAAAGTTTTCTCAATCTTAAGTACCCATGAATCCCTCACTTATTATAATGGAAATGTCATAAAGTGCGAACCAAGATCCGTGAGACACAGAGAAACTTCCCAACTAGAAAGCAAAATTCCCATTGATGGTATACTTAGTGTAAGCGATCTCTAAGATCACATCTTTGGAATAAAATCTAGTTAGAAAAGGAAATCCAATTAGTGATAAGCTTCCATGAGCATCATCATGGCATACGTACCAGCTACGACGTTTGATGCCTATTTGGCTTCTTCTGTATGAGCTAAAAGGCTCGCCACTTGGCCCTTTGAGCCTCAACTCTGTCTTGGTCTCCATCAATTATCCTCAGTGTTGCAGGTGTTGGAGCCTATATTGCACTTGTTGCCTTCAGAAGAGAACATTCAACCTTGAAATGACCTAGCAGGTTGCAATTGAAACAGACACGCATGTTCTATTTGCAGTCCCTGACATAGTGCCTTTCTTTGCCAAAATTGTGGCACCCATGTCCTACTCGAAAAGGACCATCATGAAACTCTCCGCACTTGTTGCAAGTGTGCCCCTTCTGTCCTCCAAACCTGAAACTAATGGATTTGAACTTCTTAGATGTTGTCTGAGACGATGTTAGAGTCTGTCTCTTCCCTTTTGTCTCGGTCTCCAACTTGATTTCTCTCCTCCTAGCATGCTCCTACATCTCAACTAAAGTCTTTTATTGGTTGTTTAATACAAACTCCTTAATATTAGTCTTGACACTACTAGAAAAACAGCCTTTTACGACGCTCATTGCACGTCGTAAAAGGCTCAGATGACGCGCAAATGCGCGTCAAGGAAGGCCCTATCATAAAGAGAGACAACGCACATTTACGACGCTCATTTACGACGCGCATTTACGACACGCAATGCGTATCAAGGAAGGCCCTGTCATAACGGAAGACGACACGCATTCGTGTGTCATAACCTTACGACACGCGTGTGAATAACACACAATGCGTATCAAAAAAAGCCCCTGTCAAGAAATGTCATGTCATAAATGAAGATGACACATATTTTTGCGTATCGTAAATTTAAATGTTTTAAAAAAATTATATATTTATTAATTTTTAAATTAAATTTGCATTTAATTTCTCATAATATAAAATAAAAGACCATATACAAAAAATACAATCCATTGCACAAAAGTTAATGTCATACAAAATACAAAATAAAATACAACAAATAAGAAAGATAATTCATTGCACTAACATGTCAAATACAAATAATCATCCCTAACTATATAACTTAATACTACATTGCTATTAAGAGACATCATCATAACTCACTGAAGGTCTTGGAACAATGTTCTCGTCATCAACTCTTACACCAACCTTGCTTTAGTAGATGGTCTTGTAGCTACTATCTTTTTCAGCGTTAAATCCCCACATATAGCATACCTGCTCTTTGACTATATCCATAGATGGTCTTGGAATTTGGATTAATTAATAAACTATTATAAGTATGATAAATATTTAGACAATTTTGCTAACCTTTCTAAAAAGAGCAGGACAATATCTTTCGTTTTGGCTCCTTAGTACTAAGCTCTTTGACTATATCCATAAAATGTTTACAATAAAATAAATGTGCTACATGAAAAATAGCATGGTACTGTAGTATATAAAATGATGAATCACTGGAAATTGCTAACATATCATCACTGTCTGCCCAGTAAAGGTTCTGGAAACATATACAAAAATATTAGAATATCACTCATATGTTCATGTTGTTGACATCTAATTAAAGAGGTACAAGTTGGTTACCTTGACATGGACATCAATCCTTTGAATCAACCTGCACTCAGCTTAATACAAAAATTAGCATTAATTGCTTATTATAGAATCTTTACTTTTGTTTCAAGGCATTTTGATATGATTTCATTAGTTTTTTTATTCACCAAATGTTTCTATTTTAGACTAAAGATTTTCGCATATATAAAAATGGTAAACTTTTTTGTATACAGCACAGTGCATAAAAGAAAATAATCTCTTCTTCTTTTCCAGTCTAAAACAAATAGCAATTAACAATAATACAATGCTAAAAACTCCAGTTACTTCTTTGGTGAACCGCCAATAACATCCTCTTCAATAAAGGCCAGCTCCTAAAATTGAAATATGAATGCAGTAGTAGTGAGTTGAAAAATCAGCCTAGTTACACTTATAGCAGTAAGTATTGCTTAATTTATACTGGGATGACATTACTTAGAATTTTAGTAGTAATATAAGTATAAGAACACAACACTGCTATAAAAAAGTCAAAGAATGTACATTTAATCCTTTTTAAAAGAAAAAGAAAAAAAACAAGTTGATGGTAAATTTAAGCAAAGAAATAGAAACCTACTCTATCATCAACATCAGCATCATCAACTTCTAGAATATCAGATAAAGCTCCACTGTTGTCAAAGCCAAAGCCATGACGATCTTGAAAGAATGTGGCAGGTGTTTCCGTTTCCACATCATATACAAAAGATCCAGTAGATGATGTGGGGTTCGGTGAGGACCCTATTGTTGTCTGAACAGGATATGATATGGACCCTCCTACATCAATGGTCATGACAGAGGTAATTCGTCCATTTGAGGTGGAGGTGGAGAAGAGAATGATAAATTATTATGACGATGAATCTGAATCTAATGAGCTCTTGATGACATGTGAGCATCATCGAAAACTTTACAAAGATTATCAGACATCCCTGCACCATAGTTTAATTTTAATGTGGTTAAATTTCTGTTACTGTAGAATAAAAATAAAATAAAAAACTAAAAATTATCACTAACCATTAATTCTTACTCTTACAGGTGGAGTATGAGGAACATGACTGTAATAAAAAAAAGGCAAAAATTATCACTAACCATCAAAAACTTTACAAAGATTATCATAAATTTATGTTACTGTATTGTTCTCACTACTTTCTCCTTGATGACTAGGACCTGGATCTTGAAAACCACCAGTTCTTACTCTTACAGGTGGAGTATGAGAAACATGACTGTAATCAAAACACAAAAATGATAGTGAAAATCTTCATTTATCAGGAGAGAAGTGTCCATTCTCTACAAAGCATATAAATCAACAATTTACAGAGTTTCTATATAACCAAAAATAAAATTCAACTTTTACATTTATGAACCGACATCCATTGTTTTATAGACTGTGAATGGAATGGGAGAGATGGTTAATTAGGTATAAGAAGTTGAATAGCAACATCTGGTATATGCAAATGCTAAAAGCTAGAATCACTTGAATGACTTACATTTTACCATTTCATGGTGTTAGCTAAAACACTTCAATAAAACAACTCTTTCTTAAATTCATACACATATTTAACCTATAAATTATTTTCAAATCCAAGTTTTTTTTATTGTAAATTAAAAAAAAAAGTTAGAAATAACATATCAGTTAAGCTTCCAATGTTAGAAAACATTGTCCATACAGTCCCCAAAACAACACATTTTATTGATCCATATGTAATTTCTCAATTTTTTTGGGTAGAACGCATAATTTAGTATAGTACCTCAGCAGTTTTGATATCTGGAAGAACAAGGTGGTTGACTAATATATACAACAAAGATTCCCTAGCACATGGAAGAACAAACAATCCAAGTTCTCATCTTCTTCCTTTCTTCTCCCAAAGCACTGATAATGTAGCTAATCCACCTGCAAATCAGTACAACAACTCCAATCACTGCATGCCAGCTAGTCTTAAATGGCGCATCCATAAACTTTTGAAGACCAAGGACAACAAAGGCTACAAAAGTCAAAGAGAAATAAAGTGTTAATGTTTTCCTGAATGTTGCTGATGTGGAGTATGCGTTATGAGCCAAACATGATTTTGTGGATGGTTGGATTTTTAAACAGGGTATTGGTAGAAGGGTATTCTTGTAAATCATCAAATTCAGAGTCGTTTATAGTTGATGGGTAAGAAGAGAGTGATGCAATATCTACTAGGGAACCTCTACAACATTTCCTTATAACTTTGTATACAGTTTTAGTAACAGGGCCAATTTTTTGATAAAAATCTTAGTATGATTTTGTTAAGATTTTGGGTCGCATTACAAAAGCATACATGACTTAAAATTGTTGAACAAAATGTAAGATTATTAAAAGGAAAAGATGTAAAATTTAAGAATCAATATGTACCTGAGCACATCAAAAAGCAAGAGTAATGAATCCCTGTGTCTCCATGAGCTTCCCCAAAGGGTGAACTTTTTCTTTGATTTTGCAGAATTATAAGCACACTGTTGAGCAGGAAAAAAAACTAAAATTTGAAAACTTGCGTCTTACACGATACAAAACATAGATTACATGACAATTTAATTATCTACATGAGCAAGCCTTGCAAGAATATATAAATCAAGTTTACGCCTTCGATTGGAATCATCTAATGCTAAAAGAGAAAGACAGACCCGCAATTGAACCAGCTAAAATTCTGATCTGCTTCGTTCGATGAAAAAGCAGAGTTAAGGATTTTGATCTCACCGCGAATTTCTGATACTAGATCTTGTTGAGCTGCGTCATCAGATGAGGTGATCCTCCGATCCATGATGAATTCGTCCTCTGGCTTCCTCTTTAAAAAGCCCTAGTCTGGATGGATTTTATGAAAAAAGATTACATACTTCACTTCACGAGAAACTAAAGGTATGCCAGGCATCCTTGTTAGACAACGATAATGGTGTAGAAACAGAGGTCGATGTCTTACTAGGATTAATCGAACCAGAAAGGGAAAAAAATAATACTTGTGGTTCTTTGAGGTGCGATTGATTTTGAGAAAGGAAAAAGATAATCGGTGATTTTTGGTGGCCTGGTTTGTCGATCGAAGTGTGAAGAGGGAAGAAGACATCTGATCGATTGAAGGGAGAAGGAAGGAATGAATTTTGGAGGAGTTCCTCCATCTGTATGCGATAATTCATCAAGGTATAGCAGGAGAGAGAGAGAGAGAGAGAGAGAGAGAGATGTTTATATGATATTTGTAAAGTGTAAGATTGAAACAAGGGAGGAACATAGCGGGCCTTTCAAACTTTTTGGAATTTCGTTTTCCCCAAAAAAAAGTGACCCGCGTTTCATTTAAAAAATATAAAGCGACATACTTAGTGGACGCGCATTTTATGTTATGTGCCCTCCGTGTTTTTTTTAATGTAACACTTATTTTAGGGCGCGCAAAAATGCGTGCCCTAAATCCTTCTAATTTTTGGAGATCCGACATTATGTTTAGGGCACACACTATTGCATATCATAAAACAGTGCGTGTTGTTGTTTACGCGTCGTAAAAGGCTATATTTCTAGTAGTGTGAGCATGCTCAAATACCGAGACATTTTCACTTGTTTTGAGGATGCATACTCGAGATAGAACAAGGCTATCTCAGTGAACATTTTGGTGATCTTTATCACCAATTCATTTGTCTGCTTAAGAGACAAGAATTCCTGAGCTAGTCGCTCCCTTTCCACCAGTGGGACACACTCTTCCTTGAAATTTTCAACAAACTGCTCCCAGGTCACCGTGCTTTGCTCCGCATGCGAGTAGTCCTTTGTGACAAAGTTCCACCACTCTTTGGCTCCATGATGGAGGAGATTTTGCGCATACCTAAACTTCATGTTAACTGGAAAAGAACAAGTATAGAAGCATCCTTCTACATATGAGATCCATCGCAAGGAGACAATCGGATATCTAGCACCATTGAACTCTAGGGGTGTAACGTCCTAAAAATTAAGACTACAAATTTCGATTTTTAAATTAATTAAAACCATTATCCAAACAACATCATCGAAACCACAATGAATCAAAGTGTATCAATAATATCCAAGTACATTAGAGTGATATAAAAATGTGGAACGACATGGTGTGGGCACTTTAATCCTTCCGGGCTCTTCCCCTTCAAACCAGAAGTACCTGAAACATAAACTGAAAACCGTAAGCACAAACCTTAGTGATTTCCCCAAAATACCACATACCATACATATCAAACATATAATGGTCCCCGCTCGACATCGAGCCCCGCTCAGTAAACAAATTTTTCAGTCATCAGGCCTTCCCTGGCATCAGGCCCCGCTCGGTATACATATAAACATATAAACATTTAATATACAAATACATGCAACAATCACAAAGATAATAGCATACATGATAGTCATTGGGCGCAACCCGGTAAACATATAAACACATAACACATGCAAGAGTCACACAGACAACTAGCATCCTAACAGATCAAACCAAGGGACAACATTGGTGCCTTCGACCTGCTAAACACAGTGAGGAAACTCACCTCTAGCTTCTGAATCTCCTAAATAAACATCGGTCTGTTGGTCCAGAAAATCCCGATGCTAATATTAGCAAATATCCAATTAATAATTGGATCTTGACCCATATTAAAGCGTCCAAGCTACCTGACCATTTCCAATGTAAAAGACCATTTTACCCTTTTTCTTACTTGGCCCAAAAACAAAGCCCAACCCATTTGCTCCAAAAATCCCAAATTACTAAATGGCATCACAAGGCCCAATAAGGCACAAACTCCAAATTGGGAACAAAATCATCATGGACCTAATCCTTAGGAAGTCCATAGTTTATCCATGGCCCAAAATCATAAGCACAATGGACCATCAAGGCCCAAACCCTAAAAGCCCAAGATATGGCCCAAACTGAAACTCTGCCTGCTGGGTATGCAGGATGTACTCAACGTGTACTCTTAGTGTAATCCTTCCGGAGCCAGTACGCACAACGTACCAGCTAGGTACGCCTAGCGTACTCCTCAAACTACCAATCCAGTCCATTATACACTTAATCAGTTGAGACCTCTAGCCAAACTCCTAGATCTAATCCTAAAGGGTGACTTAATACGTAAAGTTGGCAACTTTACACCCATGCATGACTTAATGGGACCCAACACTAAAAAAAAAGCTTAATAAGGCTCTTAACACTTGCATGGGCCAATATCTTTCATAAACTTTTCATTTTTATGGATAAGGGACCTCAAAGGAGTAAAGATCTAACATCCATAACCTCTAAAGTAGACCAAAGGACCATCAAGATGAGAGCTTTATACCTCAAAGATGCCTAAATAACACCATAAAATGGACCTAACATAAAGGACCATCAAGATGAGAGCTTTATACCTCAAATAACTTGCAAAGATGATGATGAATTTGGATCGACAAGCCCAAGCTACTCCTAAGCAACCACCAAGATTTCTTCTTCTTCTTCTTCTTCTTCTTCTTCTTTCACTAAAACACCACCAAATCTCACTTTCAATCTCAAAACTCACAAGAGGCACTTTGGGTTTTGTTTTTAGGGTATAGGGTGATAGAGGTTGATCAATAGAATGTCCAAAGTTGGTTTAAGATGTTTAAATAGGGTGAAAACCCTAAAATTACGGTTTATTCGTGCACCATATACGCCATGCATGCTCCATGTACGCCCCACATACGTGGATGGATCCTGCGTCCAAAAAAGAGTTATTATGCTAAGAGTACTCTACGTACTAACTAGGGACCAAAATGATAAGGATTTTGCATTAAGGGGCTAAAAAGAAACTTACCAAATTACGAATGTAACAATTCTCCCCTACGTGAATTAGACTTCGTCCTCGAAGTCTGCTGCCCCAAACAACTCTGGGTAGTGCTCGCTCATATCGTCCTCTGGCTCCCACATCCATTTTAAACCCTTGTGATGTTGTCACTGTACTTTCACCAACTCAACGACCTTGTTCCTCAAGGTTTTCATCTTTCGGTCAAGAATCACCACCAGTCTCTCAATATAATTCAGGTGATCATCTGTAACGCCCCGTTCTAAAAGTACTTATTTATGAATTTCCGAGATCAAAAGTAAGGGAGTTTCGGTCTTTTGTGGCCATTGGGTTTCATTCGAGAAGGTTTCAGACTGAGGTGTATCGTTAGAAGCATAGGGATTCTCGACACCTTTTCGTGGGTATAAAGTTCTTCGGCAACGTACTTAGGATGAAGGAGTTATGGAATTTTAAAGAAAGTGACCTTTATGGCCCTTAATGGAAAAAGTTGTTGAAGTAGGCCATGCATGAAATTGGGACACGCATGGGTACGCCCAGCTTAGACTGGGTTACACCCAGCGTTGTATAGCAAATGGTCGCGGGTGCATGGATGCGTACGCCCAACGTACTAGAGGTACGCCCAGCGTACACTCAGAGTCCTTAAACCCTAATTTGAGGGTGAGCCACTATATAAAGAACAAAATGGCTCAAAGCCTAACCTCATTATCAGTCTCCCCAACCTTAGAGAAACCCTAGAACGCCTCATCCTTCCTTTTTGTGAGATCTTGACCTTGGGAAGCTCATTTTGGTGGTTTAGGCTTGGAAGAGGAAAAGAGGAAGTTGTCAAAGAAGGACTTGGGAAGTTGGAGCTTATAGATTAGGAATAACATCATCTTTTGGAGCCCTTTTAAGGTATAAAGTCTCTTACTTATCATTTATTTTGTGTAGATCTTGGTGTTATGAGGTCTTGACACCATTTCTTATCCCAAAAACCCCAAAGTGAGGCATGTTGCGAATTGGTTGAGATTAGCTGTCCTTTCAGACCTTAGGAGAGGTCTTGAGTGAGAAAAATGAGGTCACAATGGCTTTGGTTATCTCATGTGTGATATAAGTAGGTCTTAATGGATTAAGACCTTGGGTTAAGAGCTTTATGGACGTCCCAAGTAATAAAGTTTGAGACTTTATGAATCCTAGGCATATTTGGTCTATGGATCTGAAGTTTGGGTTAAGAGCTTAAGCCATTAAGAACTTATGAGGATTTTTGTGGAACTTGCGTACGCCCCGCATAGGAAGCTGTATGCCCAGCGTATAGGGTCAACAACCCGTTTTCCACTCAACCTGAGACGGGGTACGCCCAGCGTACGCCCTCTGTTGAGTTTTCATGTTGGGCCTTAAGAGATTGGGTTGTCATTGGGCTAATAGAGCTTCGGTTGTGACTGGACATTATGGATGGAGTAATTTGGACTCACTAATTAGTATGGACCTTCGATCTAGGCCCATTTGGTGAGGTGGCCCCAATTTAGTAAATTGGGCCAATATTGGGCTTTACTTCGGAGTTTTGGTCGTTGGGCCATTAGTGGGCTTGAGAGCTTACCTAGTGTTGGGCCTTTCATAGTTTGATTGTGGGCCTTAGTCATGGACCAAATTGAGTTAAGGGTAAATTGGTCAATTTACCCTTGGAAGGATATTGTGCTTGTGCTAATGGTTATTTTGCTGCTTTGGATTGTTCGGGATTTTTTGGTGATACGGTGGTTCGGGCGTTTGCTTATTCAGTACAGAGTTTTGGTAGTTGCAAGGTGAGTTATCCTCACTATATCGACATGGTCTAAGGCACCAAGGTCGGCCCTTTATCGGATGGAAATTTGGGTAGTTGTTATGTTATTGCTTTGCTATATGTTTGCATCCTGGTAGTTAGGATGGTATATGTTAGAGACCTTGTTAAGGTCGGTATCCTGGTAGATAGGATGGTCCTATGTTAGAGACTGGTTAGGTCAGTATCCTGGTTAGGATGTTATTATGATATTTGATCTACTAGATCAGTTTG